ACGATTCTGTTAACAGTCAGTCTTTTCACTAATGAGTCTTTGAAAGCTGAATAAAGATCCCTCAAAACTTTAAGCCATGTATAACCTCAGTATATGCATCTGCATGCAACTCCAGAATCCAGAGCATCCATCTTTAGTGAAATCGAGAATGTGACTGGCAGAATGTGCCTTCTGCTGGTGGTCTCCAGTGGCAGCACATCAGCTCTGGAATCTTGTGAGCCACACATAGTTACTCAGGGGATCACAGGCTGGGTCAGTCAGATGCATTGTTCTTCGAGGAATCCTGGATCTGGATGAAAGACTCCCTAGATTGTCCAGTGCCAGTTAAAATGAGATGGACAATACAATGTATGAGACTTGGTAGGTTAGAACTTACCATTGAAATATACCTCAAAATGCATCTGATATGTTGCTACTGAAGTATTATAAGGAGTGGTCATTTCTCTGATTCCCCCTGTTCCTCAACATTTTAAAATCAAATTTTGGTTTTAGCAATTATTCCTTTTGTATCCTTTAAGTTCATCCTTCTTTTTACAGTAGGTTCTCTTGTCTTGTGGACAATGTTATGATTGGATGAATCCGTAAAAATTGAATTTTGAAAGCTTATGACATTGTCTCAATTTCACAAGTGATTTTGATATATTTTTGATGGCTGTACCTTGTCCTTAGCACTCTCTTTTATTTTTCCTAAGTACATTCTTTTGAAAAATCTAAGCATTTGTAGTTATTGCTTATTTCAAGCTTAGTATTTATTGTATCTGGCAAATACTGTACATCTAATCGTGGGAAAAAAAGCTGCCGTTGTTTTCAGTGAATGGACTTGTGATACAGTTTAACTTATAGCCCTCAAGTAGAAGTGGTTCATTTTTCTGTGTACAGGACACAGTAATCTTAGGGTTAGAAAGTGCCCGGAAATCAAACAATCACAGAATAGTTGAGGTTGGGAGGGATCTCTGGGTCCATCTGGTTCAACCCCTGCTCAATCAGGGACAGATAGAGAAAGGTACCCAGATCCATGTCTAGGTGGCTGCTGAAGATCTCCAAGGAGGAGACTCCACAGCATCTCTGGGCAACCTGCACCAGTGCTCCATCACCACACAGTAAAAAAGTGCTTTCTGGTGTTCAGAGGGAACCTCTTGTATTCTGGTTTGTGCTCACTGCCTCTTGTCTTGGCACTGGGCACCAATGGGGAGAGCTTGGTTCCATCCTCTTTGCATGCTCCCATCAGGAATTTATGGACATCAATGAGATCTCCCTTGAGCCTTTTCTTGGTCAGCCAAATACTCCCAGCTCTCTCAGCCTTTCCTCACAGCTGAGCTTCTCCCATCCTTTCATTACTTTGGTGGACTCCTCTGAACTCTCTCCAGTATGCCCAGGTCTCTCTTCTACTGGGGGTCCCAGAACTGGACATGGTATTCCAGGTGTTACCAATGCTGTGTAGAATATTCCTTAATAAATATCTTAGAAATTGATCCAGTATGTGAAAGTTACAGCCATCTGATACCAAAACAATCTATACTCATGGGAGTGTGTTGTGTTTGTTCGTTAGCTTGTTTTGTTCTTGTGAAACAAACAAGCCCAAATTACTGTACACAGAATATTCATATGTCTGAGAAGAAATTGTGGATAAAGGTCTACTTCATAACTCTATGCCACTATAAAAAAAAAGGACATCTTGTAAGTCCACATCTGAACAGCTTCATTGCTTCTACTGCTGTTAGAAGTCTGAGCGAGGAACTTCCAGTTTCTCTGAGGCTCAATGTAATATGGAAAAGGTAAAATAAAATAAAATAAAAGTATGCAAAGGTTAAAAAAAAAAAAAAAAAAAGTGATACACATCCTGAATCTCTTGAGCAATATCTTTAATAGTTAAGCTTTCTATTACACTGTTTGGTATTTAGTATCTTGGTAACATAATTAGGAAAACAAGACATACAAAACAGATACTCTTCCCGAGTGTTTATAATACCAGGAGGATTTGGAGAAGAATTGTCTAGATATCCCGTTAAAACATAGTTGTGTTTTTTTTCTCTAATTGCCCTGTAAAGATTACTGTTTGCATAGTTCTGTATATCTGAATTGTATAATTCTGATTATTTAAATTATGGACTGCTTACACATTGGTTTTAGTTTATTGTGGAGCAAGGGAAAGACTCGTAGTGTCATTGGATCGTGTCACTGGAGATTTCATGGTCTGTATTGCATTTAATATGAAACTCAGAAGATAGTCACTTCCTCAACTAAGATGACTGCCTTGTTCTGTATGGTAACTGTCCTTTCTTTTTTTTTTTTTTTGTGATGAGGATGGGAGGAAGGGAAGAGATACCAGTGCTGAAGCTTTTAATGCTGCTGCATATTAAATTTTCTTACTGTAAAGCATGAACAACTTTTAACTCTGTTTAAAAAGGAAGAAAAATCTGATCTTCTTATAGTTGATTTTTATTCTTCAGCTGTCACAGGTTCAGGCTCTTCTGGTCAGCCATGAAGATCAGAGGTTCCTTTTATGGTTTAAATGTGTAATGAATTTAGGGAAAGTACTCAAGCTCTGAGACGTAAAAATGGTAAGAATTGAAAATATTATGTCAGTAACATAAATCAACATCACGATTTGTTTTGCTTGAATAACATCTGCATTATTGATTCCATCGTTGTGTATGTGCTATGCAGTGTAGGTACAGTGTCATGCAACTCAAAAGAAATACAAGTTATTCTTGGGATCGAAAAGCAACATGGATGTGATATATTTTGGAGCCCTGAACTGGCTAAATGCCTAAATGCTTGGGCAGATAAGGCCATGCCATTGTCTAATTTAGGACACCTGGAGATATGGCTCATAATCAAGTGCCTCTAAACTATGACAAATCCTGAATGAAACACTTTTCAGGATTTAACTAGATGAAGCAAAACATCCCCTAGCTACACGGGGCATACATGCTCCAGTTTGCTTACCATGGATGAAAAGGAGGGTGATTTACCTTGGAGGTAAACATAGTGACCCCAGCTATTGCTTTTGGAAGACAGTGCCTTTAAACACCATGGGAATTCTACAGGAGCCTTGTGATCTAGAAGACACATTGAATCTGTATGTGCTTGTTCTGTCTGATATAGCTCATCTGTGCTTTGTATGGGCTAAGAAGTTTGTGCAGGTGTGATGTTGTGATCTACTTTGTATATACCTGGAAATCCAGCCAGTTAATTGGAGTTTGAATATTTGTATTCATTTGTACTTGTGCCAGCAGAAAGGTCATTAGTCTCTTGCTCAAGGCTGTTTTTATTATCCAGTGTACCATCTAGCAGTGTAACATGGCCAGGGAAAAGTAAATTATCTAGATTTATTACCATGTTGGATAACTGGAACATTTTTTGTGCTGACAAAACTCCGCCGTGAATCTGACTCATCTTTAGTCAAAATGTATTAAAATGCCTGTTCCAAAAAGTCACATTCCTATGAAGTAGGTATGATATTTCCTATGTTGTAATAGCCTTAGAAAAAGTAACTTTTATCTTTCTAATTTGCTTTTGATCGCTCAACCTTGAACATTCCTTTGTTTCACATCGTAGGATGGTGACTGTATGTATAAATGGGGTTTTAGTTCTTTTGACCCCTGTTCTACCCTAAGGGAATGCAAATATTTGTTCTCATTTGTTTCCTGTGCACATTGATTAACAAACAGGCAATTGTAACAAACTGGTAAAGCCACGGCTCACTGCATGAGCTGATAAAGTTGGTATGTGACATTGTGTTGAAATATTAAAACTTCCAAAAGGTTATTCATAAAGTGACGTGAGTAATAAGTGAAATGTTAGTAGTGCCCAAGATAATGGTTAAAAACCATTGAGAAAAGCAAACTCTTAAACAGGTATAAACCAAACTGGTTCAGAGAGGTAAGGTTGCTTGGCTGATGTCTTTTTGCCACCCAGCATGGCTTCATAAATTCTGTAAACCCATAAATCCTGAGGTTGCTTAGTTGACCCAGTGAACAGGGCTCTTTTCTGCTAAGAAAAGGAAATAAATCATTTAGTGACACCATTTCTTTCCCAAGCTTTCATGGCCACCTGTGAAATCGCGACCGGACAAATATCTGTATTCAGTTTGTCTCAACATTTTAATGTACACTGGAGGGAAAAGTCAAGCTAAGGATGGCCCATTTCTATTTTAAACTATTTTCTAGTGCATAAATATCACTTTGTTGTTAGAAATTAAATATGCAGCGTGGTAACTTTAAAGGACAATTAAAATACTATTTAGTGAGCAGTATACTTTTCTGATATAGGAGTGATTCTCTGAAGTGTCACACACCTTTCTCAAGTCCCGAGTAGCCAAGAAGTTTTCTAAGTCTATCCTGCTTTCCAGCTTCTGTTTGAATAGAATATATGAAAAGCATAACACAGCATTTGTAGAAGAAAAATCTTTACACATGGGGATAACCAAATAGTTTTACACGAGCCAAAAGAAATAGATAATATTTTGCTGCATCTCCGTTTAGTGATTAATTTTTTTCTTTTTACTGCTCATTTATGAAGAAATGAAAAACAGTCTTTTTAAGGTTTGTATTTCAAACCAAAGTGTGGGTTGCTCAGAGACCTTACCTGAATAGCTGTTTTCAATTATGGCACTTTTCCTGTAGTGCTGTACATCTAATCTTGCCTTCTCAATATAGCATTTCTTTGAGTTAAAAGCATGGGACAGCAAGTATTCTTGAATTTTTACTGAGTGCCAAGACCATCTACAATATTTGAAAAAGGATAACTTCTTTTGTTCTTCAGTCTTTCACAGTGTCAGCTGAACATAAGCATCATAGAAAATTGTGTATGAACAAGCTGATGTGTAAATGTATGCACACACAGAAACAATACACACGTTTACATATATCTCTGTAAGCACGCTTATTCAAAATGACTTCCAGAGAAAAACTGTTTTTAATATAAATATTTATGACAGTAAGCCTGAGTGAATAGTTTGGCTGCTGATTGTTTTCTTTTCGCTTTTGTTTTGCCAGCAGTCAACAGTGGAAGATGTAAGTACTTAAAGTAGATTATGTGATGTCTTGTGTATGTTTGCTAAGTGTGTTGTACATGGTTGTTAAATTCTGTGAATGTTTATCATATGTTATAAATGTTGTATAAAATGTTATAAAGCAACTATATATATATATATATATATTTTTTTTTTTTCCTAACATTGCACCAGTTAAATGCGTAGCTGCATATTGGCTCTGTATATTCAAAGGAGGCACTCAGCTGCAGCTAACATTCACCAACATAAATTCAACCACAGTGAATTATGCCTGAAGATGTGTGCTTAGATCTAAGAGAAACTCTGTAGAAAGTATTCTGAAATTCAAGTTTTTACAGAGATCTCAGCTCCTAGAGCCCAGCTGGTGTTGAGTTCAGCTGTTTTGCTTTTCTCAGGCTCTTCCAGGTGCTTCACTGAGTTCATGAGCAGTTAGTAACAATTCTCTGAATTGAGAAAGATCCAGAGTACTCTTATTGTAAGGGGCATTGCAAGAAAGAGGAAATTCTTGATAGAATAGGAGGGTAACAATTCTGGTGGTTTTAAGAGCCAGAGGTCCCATGGTGCATTTCCAGGCATACGTGGCTCTTCTTGCATTGCAAATCCCCATTTGATTAGTTTTATCTTGCTTGCTTAAAGTTCCCTCTGAGTTTCAATTAGTATGATCTTTTCTCCTTCCTGTTCTAAACGTTTTGTGTTACTGCTGTGTGTTGCACATGAGCATCTCATGGCAAATTATGAAACAGAAACATTTGGTAGTAGGATGTGGAAAAGGCTCTTTGATGAACCCTTTAAACCCTCTGAAAATGTACATAACTTGAAGATAAAATCATAATGGGGCCAGAACATTGACTAATGTAAATATGCTCACAATTGCTGATGCAAATGGGGAAGAGAAGGATTTAGGGGTCTAGTGATGTTCATCTGTTAATGTAATCACAAACCTTCACATCTTCGTTAATGTGTAACTGTGGTGCCAGAGGGGTCAGGCTATTCCAGACAGTGCAATGTTGTGGTACCTCCTGCATGAGAAATACCAGCAGTCTTACGTATTCTTCAATTAAATCCCCAATCTAGTCTTCCTCTGGAGTGAGTTTGCATAACTCTGCATGCTTCAAAGGAACTGCACTGATTGATAGTAGCTAAGCACTTGGTATTTTATTGATGTCTGCCACTGCAGATTTAAATGTTGAGGCTTGCTTTAGAAATTGAAGTTCTTTTCATACCTGTAAGTAGTTTAGCATTAGTCACAGAAGTTGTTCTAAACAATATGAGATAGTAACTTGAAGACCAAAAAAAAAAAACAAAACCATGAGCATGACAGTCAGCTTATCTAGAAGAATGGTGGATAGGGTGTTTTTTTGCTGGTTGCTGAAGCTGATCAAGTATAAGATGTGCCTTAAAGAAGCTAGCAGTCCCAGAGAAATTAGTTCTCTCTCCTCTTCTTGACATGCAGTGGTAGCCTGAGTATATGTGTAAGAACATGTGAGGACCCCAAGGACTGATGCAATGTGCTTATCCTCACTATTCACACTGAGTATAACAAGGACTCTTTAAGGAGCTTGTACCAGTGTGGTTCAGCACCTGCTTAATTTAATTTTTTTAATTTAATCAAAACTACTCTGATCCAAACTCCCAAAAACTGCAGTGTCATCTATGCACTTCAACAACCATAGAACCATAGAATGGCCTGTGTTGAAAAGGACCACAATAATCATCCAGTTCCAACCCCCTGCTATGTGCAGGGTCACCAACCAGCAGACCAGGCTGCCCAGAGCCACATCCAGCCTGGCCTTGAATGCCTGCAGGGATGGGGCATCCACAGCCTCCTTGGGCAACCTGTTCCAGTGCCTCACCACCCTCTGGGTGAAAAACTTCCTCCTAACATGCAACCTTAAACTCCTCTGTCTCATTTAAAACCATTTCCCCTTGTCCTATCACTATCCACCCTCATTAATCTGCCGTTCCTTTTCCTGTTTATACGCTCCCTTCAAGTATGCAAGGCCACAGTGAGGTCTCCTGGAGCCTTCTCCAAGCTAAAAAAGCCCAGTTCCCTCAACCTTTCTTCATAGGAGAAAGAAGAGAAGCAAAAGAACCTGTCCAGTGTTTTAAGCACACCCATATTATCACAGTCATCTCTGTATTTTTATTTGCTGATTTTTATGGTCTTACATTAGCAAATGTATTACTTTATTAACATATTATTTCCACATTTTAATACAGAAGACAAATTTGATTTAAGCATGTTTAGCAAAATCATACAAGTTTGTATTTCGTTCTGGTTTAGGCTACGTTTAGAAAAATACTGTCTAACCCTATCTTACAGCTACTTGCAGCTTCCTTGTTTGAGAATAGCGCTGTCTTTTATGCCTCAAAAGGATACCACAAATATTAATAACTCTTTGAGAGAGCAATTTAAAAGCCAGACTTGCAAGCTGATACCACAGTATCTACTATTGGCAGAAATACAGTCCTTTGAATCATACATGAGCTGCTGGCATCTGTCACATTGCTTGTTTTCTCAGGGGCCTAGCGATTAGGCTGCATGCAATAACACCATGATCTTCTGAGGAGTCTACCTCAATATTAATGGTTTCGTCAGCTTGTAGGAACAAGTAAATAATTGGGCACACCTGGGACACAGAAATGCCTCTGTGTGTTTAGGGAATGCTTTCTAATTAGTGCTACTACAGTGTGGATCGTAGAAACCTGAGTGTTGCATTGCAGATAGGATCAAAGCGTGGTTTTATGGCCTGTTCTGAGTTTGGAGTGTATCTCTCTGTCTGTCTTTGTGTCTTTCCATCTATCTGTTATTCTGTTTTCTTTTTAAATTTGTGTTTATTAACTCCAAAAGGACTCCTACCTAGTCAATATTGCATGACTTTCAATTCAATATAATGACATTAACGTTGAGCAACCTGATTGATGTCAATGCGATACCTGTTCAATACAGGGAATAATATTAGAAATGTCCATGCTTTATTCTGCAGTTCAATTCTCCTTTCCCCAGGTGATCAATCAGTGGTTCAGGCCGTGGTTCAACAGTTCCCATACAGCTATGTTGTGCTATGCTGTAGCTGTCATTCAACAAGCCTATGAACCTGCAATAATAATTCTGGATGCTTTGTAAAAGGTGAAGCTGGGGGGGAATAAAAGGCATATTTAAAAACAGGAATTTCTTTCTCTAGGTTCTCCACTCTTCTTGTTGGTGGTCAGGGAAAGCTCTACCCCATTGTGAAGACTGAGTGATTTCTGTTTCTCTTTGTCCTTGCAGGTCAAGCCAGTTACTCACAGTAGAATCACTGCATCAGCCAGGTTTCGAAAACCGTTCCAGGAGCCCTACACGATTTTGTAAGTTGAATTTTCAGTTACTGAGATGCTTTTTTTTTCCTTCCTATCTTAACTTCAGATGATTTTTGCTTTAAATGGTCCTTCAAATTATATTACTTTGCTTTATTTCAGCCTGATTGCTAATGGAGACATTATTAGCCCTGTAGTGCGCCTCCTTATTCCCAGGAAAACTCTGAATCACTGGGACCACATTCTTGAAATGGTTACAGCAAAGGTTTCCCTCAGAAGTGGAGCTGTTCACAGGTATCAGGAGGCTGAATATTTGTGAGATACAGTTGCTGTTTACATATGTTTTTAAAACTCTGAAAGTAGATATGGATCAAGCCTGCTTTATAGGAATTTCCTCTACAAGAAAACTTTAGAGGTCCCTTCTGTGATTCTAGAAACCTGGAAATACATTTACTCTACATCAGTTTCTTGTTTCATTTCAACTGCTTTTTAAAAAGAAAAAAGAAAAAAACACCAAAACTCTCAGTATTATTCAATCGTTATTTCTCAGCTAAATGTTTAATTAGCAGGTATGCAGTAATACAATAATAATCCAATGTATTTAATATAAATAATGCAATAACACGTTAAAATGACTTAAATGACCTCGGTAGAGCCAGTCAAAATATCTGGAATGTCCTTTTTACCTTTAATTTTGATAGTTCTTTTTCTGGGGCAAACAATTTCAAGGAAAATGTTTTAGATCCTTTGGTCTTTGAAGACCTGTTCTCTGACAAAGCTACGCTTTATAATCAGTCAGCTCAGCCTCCAGCTAAGAGTCAGGGCTTTCCAGTATCTTCCACTGCTCTAGTTGTTAGGGTATCCCCAGCATACCCTGTAGATAGATTTCAATCACCTTAAGGCCTTGAAATGTAAAATAAGCTCTCTAAAATAAGATCTGATTGTCGCTGCAGGTTTTAGAGCAAAATGATATGTGGTCTCCATGATAAACTTTACTGTGTAAACAGTCTGCCAAAGATGTGCACTGGCAAATGACTGATGTTCCAGCGTTACCCCATGCAGAGCACATTACAGAAATCTATTCTTCAGATAGGAAAGTGCTGGAAAATCATTCTTCATGGCTTACACAATTTCTGAGGCTAAGCTTGCCTCTCTATATATCTAGAATCAATGAAAATGCAATAATTTGACTCAGTTCCTGTGATTACTTTTCCAGAGATGGTGCAGACCATAAAACATGAAGATAATGCTGTCTGTTGAGTATTAGCTGTCATCTGTTTTTCCCCTCAGTCCTTCATGTCTTTTGTTTGTTATCTGGTTTCTCACCACTGTTCCTTCCATCAGAGTTAACCTAAACTCATTTTTCAGCTTTCTGGATCTGATTCTCAGCTACCATAATCCTGAAGTGAACATAGTAACAGCTGTTCACAAAATCATTTTTTTCTACTTCTTTGGATGATTAAGGTTTTAAAAACCTGTTTGTCTTTTATTCTCGTTACTTCCTATCACTCCTTGGTGGATCTGAATGATATATATGAAAGCATATATAGTTATGTGTGTAGTTAAAATTGCTCTTGAGAAGTATTCTGTTCATTATTCTTTCCAGGATTCTGTTGCAATCTTTTAAAAATAAGATAATGCACATAGCACTTTGAATTATTTAATGCTTTCCCTTTTCTGGTCTTATTTGAATCCAGTTTTCATTGTTTTTTCCTTAAAATGCTAAGAATGTGTATTAAATATACTGGTAGAGTGATTGTTGTTCTTTAATAAGTTACACATTAATTGCTGGGGTTTTCTGAAATTATGTTACTGTTAGGAGAGCTCCTATAAGACCACTGATTCCAGGAAGGCTAAGTGGAGTTACAAGAACCTGCATTATGTGTATGGCAGTTTTTCTTCCTCGTGTCATGAAATGACATCCAAAGCTGCCAAGACTTTTATAGTTTCACATGTGGCTTTTGAAAACAGTTATTGATCATCATCATAAGAACAGAGATGTAAGTAAGAAATATGAGAGAGAAGACAATGAGAAAGTAGTCTTTCTCCTTGCCAGATTGTGCTTGGGGATGGGGTACAGCAAACTGATCAGCAAGTATCTGGTAGGCAGGCAGGTGTCTGAAAATAATGATTCCTTATGTTACCGTCCACTTTGTCAGCCTATGTTTGCTTTGTTTTGACTGCCACTTTTTGGCTGGGACTCAGGAGGGAAAATGGAAGTTCATCATGAGCCTACAGTTCAAGCCTTTGATTATCACCCAGTGAGAGTGAGCAGAAATGACTGCGAGAACATTTCCTGCATAATATTATCCAGGGAAGTATGAGAGAACCCTGGATGTTTTTGAATGGTTTGGACCAGTTGAGAGGGTAACAAGCTGCATAATAGTGTCACAAAAATCGTGTGTGTGATGCTGGTTATGCCAGCAGTTACATATATATCTCCCCTTTTAAAAAATGCATTTTTAATTCCCCTTTCTTCTTCAGTGACTTTGGTTTCATTCAGTTGTTATTATCATTATTTTCTGGATGAAAAATAAAACTAGAAAATGCCAGGTGCTTGTAACTTTTTGGTTGTTACATTAAACAAAAAAAAATTGTGCAGTACATGTAATATTAAAACGTAAGCAAAGTGAAAGATCAGGTATAAAAACCCACAGTCATGTTTGTAAGTATCACTATGCTCTCAAAGTATTACCTTCTATTTATTTCCACAATTACATCAGATACAAAGAGCAGAATAACGCCGTTTGATAGAGCAAATTCTCAGCTACAAAACTATTTTTCAACATAGCCACCACTTTTAGCTATGCATTTTCATCAGCCATGAACAAGAGCCTGCATGCTGCACTCAGAAAAATTTGCACCAGCTGAGATGAATCACTGTTTCACAGCTGCTACGATGGTGTCATTGTTAGGAAAATGTTTCCCACCCAGTCCGTCTTTAATTGGCCCAAAGAGATGGAAATCAGAAGGCACCAAATCTAGACTATACAGTAGATGCACAAGGACAGTCCAGCCAAGACTGACAACCCATAGAACAGATCCCACCTGAGATATCAAGAGGAAAGTGTTAAAGACCAAAGTAATACATTCTTCACACTTATTTAGAAATGGTGAGAAAATTTCATCTGTCGTAGTGCTTTATATTTCATTAGTTTTAAGTGAGATTGGTCTACCTGTCATTTATGTCATTTTGCAAAATGGTAAGGTTTATTATATTAAGACTTTACATATTCTTTCAGACTTTACACTTTAGATGGAAAGCATGTTCAGAATGGGTCAGACTTGGAGAAAGGGCAATTTTATGTTGCAGTGGGTAGAGAAAAGTTTAAGAAGTTACCATATGGTGAGCTGCTGTTTAGCAAATCTACCATAAGGCCACAGGGGTAAGTTCCATATTTCTCATTCTTGTACATGTGCCAGAAATTTATAATTTATAAAACATTTATAAAAGATGGATGGATGGATTTTCTTGAATGGATGTAAAATTTTATTGAAAATGTCTAAGAAAATAGAGATAGAAATAAAAGAGAAAATGGGAATGCAGGGGATTATTTTGGCTCATAAATAAATTATGAAATATTGATCATATTTCACAAAATTCATATCAGACAAAGGTTTATTTTGCCTTGGCTTAATTTTTTTTCCTAATTCACAAATGAGATCATGAATTATTAGTTAAATGAGATTCTGCGTAGCTACATTTGTCAGCATGGTAATGCTTTATGGAAAATGTACTCCTTTAAGAGTGCTTAATGTTTGGGTCATTTTTGTAAGCCAGCACTATCACATAATAGAGCCCTAAACATGGCCTCTATAAGATGGAACTTGGGCTTTTGGTGTCTTTGAAATGTGAAGTTAATTGGGAGTCATTGCAATGAAAGAAATGGAAATAAATGGCAACCTGTCCCACAAATGAGTTTAGGGCATTTGTCCCACATTATACATGTAAACTTTGCTGTATTTATTTATTTCAGTGAGCAACATGAATAACAAAACATTTTGAGAAACAGAACTTAAAACAAATGAATTTAAAGGCAGTGGAAAATATTGCTTAAGATGGCTTGATCAATTGATGACATAGAATTTTATTGAAATTGCTGGAATGTTTCATTATACTTGTTCTAATTACCCTACTCCAACTCACTGATCACTGCCCTAGGGATTAGAAGTGGGTTTAACTGTGCATTATGGTGAAATGTAGTGCATTTTTTGGACTAAGTTAACGATTATGTGTTTAAATGTACTCTGGTGAGCAGAAATAAGTGATTCTTAGCAACACTCTGCAATTAGTAGATAAAACAATTAACTGTTGCTATCGTTTTCTTGGTGTTGCTTGATTTAGTGATAGGCTGATAGTGTCTATGAAAGAAACAGTGCACAGAACTCTAAGGCATGTTTTATTTCTGCAGTTCTAAAGCATCCGTACTGCCTCCAATTGCAGGATCTCGAAAATCTAAAGGCAGTGTAAGTATCAAATGCCATAATGGCATTTGTTTCTAATTTTGCTTAATTCCAGCAGATGAAAGCTCCTTGTCCTCTGAGTTTCATTAAATCCATAGAGAACAAGCCACAGCCACCTGGTGGTATGGCTTGATGAATCTGTAGCTATTTGGAGTGTCAATTAGATAAAAAAAAAATCCAAGAAAATATTGTCTCAGAAATGGATGCCTTATTTTTGAAAAAATCTTCCCTAGCAAAGAACAGCTGCTGCGTTGTGGTATTTTCCACACTACTTTTCAACTATCTTTATGTATTTGCTGGTAATAAACCTGTTTGTTTATTCAAATTATGCTCCTAAAGGAAAAACACAGGGCCATTCACACAGCATATTGCAGAAAAAGGTGTTTCTGCATGCTGAGTCTGAACAAGGCCCTAAAACAGTTTCCTGCCTAATGTGTTTCGTCCCTAGCTAACCATTACAATACAGAGGTTGAGCATCCACTGCTTTATATAATGTGGAGCTATTCACATGTGTAAAAATGAGTTCACTGTACACTTAGTGCCAAATTAGAATATAAATGTTTGTTTGCACCAATTTACATACACATAAAGTTTACTGTACAAGACAGCACAGTGTCAGATTTGCAGTCTGACATTCTAATTGTGTTAGTTGATCGTATCCATTCACTATTCACAAATAAAATTAAAACAAAAAAACAAAAAAAATCACCTCTGGAACTTCTTAACAAAATAAGGAATAAAATATACAAGTCTCACTTCCATTCTGTTGAAACGCAGCATAAAAAATACAGTTTCAAAGTCATGCTTGTTGTTAAATAAATGAGCTTTGCAAGCAATTTCTGCAAGCAATTATTTATTAACTCTTTTATCTTAGAAGCACATAGAGAAAATTATTTATAATCACTTTTATTCCATATAGAGATTGTAATGAAAGAGAGTGAACTGGCATGGGTTGTGAAACTGTTTGCTTAGGTTTGGTTTCTACATATTTTTGCCATTATTTCTTGGGAGTGACAGTCTCCAGTTTGAATTAGAAGAGGCTGAAATACTTCTGCCCCCTTTTTATTGAAAGGATAAATGGTAGGTTCAGTGGTATTGATAAATAAGTGCTTGATTGGATGGTAAAGTCTGGGTGGCATTTCAGTAAAATATTTAAAATAGAACTTATCTCTTGAAAAATCAGAAGAATCACACAAAAAAAAAATGGAAGAGATTCAAAAGTTTGTTCAGGACATATTTTTCTGAGCAGTTTTACTTTTACGCAGACGTTGCTTTTAACTTCAGCAGTGAAGTAGCCAAAACTTGCAGAATGAAAGTCCTTTCTGGTGTGCAAGTTCTATAATGTCGTAAAATGTTCATGCAGCTACAGTAAGTGAAACACTAAAATAAAGTGTACTTGCCTTCCATGATTTATCAATGTCTGTGACAAAGTGAATGGTTCCAGATGCTGACACAGTTTTCTGCCCTCTGCTTGAGTGTTCTGTTGTTATACTGAGCATTTTGACAGTACTGGATTAGTAGGAAAATACTCATGCCATTTAAATGACAGAATTAGGAGGCTGACATCCCCCTATTGAGAGGCAACAATGGTTCCGTTGTTAATCTCTTAACCCACCTTAGTGCAATCTTAACAGCATTATAAAGGGCTGCTATATGCAGCTAAGGTTTTTATGATACTGTGAACAGATTTAGACTGGGGAAAAATGTTGTGAATAAAATCTCTAGCTACTAGAATTATTGGTATGTCCAGTACCGTACGTACATGTAAGCTGAAAACATCAGGTTCAGGTTTCTGTTGCTTGTTCTGAATTCACAACCCCAGAAGCAGAGGAGTTGGGTGATTTCCTTGGTGGCGATTCAGAGGAGACATGCTGGCAGACCATTCTGTTCATTTGGTAGTCAGTGCTCCCGCCACACAAAGACTGTCATCCTTCCCCAGCCACTTTTGACACTTAGCAGGTCAATATCTACGTTGCATTTACACAGGCAGTGATTTATTCACATGTCACATCTTCACATATGCATAGATGAGATACACATATACATGAACAAAATACAGCTATTTATTATTTATATGCATACATAGATTTGCCTAATCGTTCTTTCCATCAGATTAAACATTATTTCCTTGCAGTAACTGTGTTGTTTTCTTCTGTGAATTGTTGAGGAGCATTTCATCAGATCATGTAGAAAGTTGATAAGACAGTTACAGTTTTCCAGATTGTTTTAGATATTCTTTTACTGATTGTAAATGAATACATTTCTTTAACGCCTGATTCAATTCCATAGATATTAAAAATTTGGAATGACATTGAAATTAAAAAGTATTATTCATCAGTGATGATGATGATGAACACTTCTTTTCAGGGAAATGATCGGCAGTCTAAATCTACTGTTGGATCCAGTGACCCTGGAGAGAACAGTTCCTCACCTCAGCCTCCAAAAGAGAAGGTCAAAAAATGCCATAATCCAGAGGATTCCGTGTCCAGAGGACACAGTTCTAACAAATCTACGAAAGCAAATCAAACGGCTTCTACAAGATTCCTGCAAGATAATGGTCAGTATTGAGATAAATTCAATCATAGCATAGTGGCTTTTTATCTCCTGCTAAGCCAGTGAAACACAAAACTAGCATGGTACTTGAACTGTCGCTTTACGCTGGCTGATTTAATTTACTGAAGTAATTTTTGCTTAGAAAAGTCATTCATGCAGGCCAATTGATATCTTTAAGTAGAAATAAATTATACTTTTCATAACGTTTGTTTGTGTTCATAACTAATGTGCAACAATAACCTGTGGTTTAAAATTTCAATACACGTAATCCCGCATCACTGTGTTTACGTCTGCATTTGAGTTGTGAATTTACTTTTTCAGTCAGAAGAATTTTGTAAATTTGAGTTTGAAAAGAACAGTGCAATATTTTTTGTATTGTAAGAGGTTTTTTTCCAGAGTAAGCTTGTTGAATTTTCATTTTGTTTCAGTCTTGAGTCAAATTTCATTTTGTCCTGTTGTTGGCGAATGGATATAATTTTATCCAACTGTTTTTCAGTAGTTTTTTTCTTACTGAAGAATGGAGACTGTGTTAAAAGGAATGTGACTAGAACCATTCATCCTTTGCAACACATAAAACAGCTCAACAGTTTCTTTCCATTGAAATTATCATGATGTATCCTCAATTTTACACATTTATTGATGCATGCTAGAAACATTTAAGGGAGCAACTGTAAGATCTGACCTCTCAAAGAGGGCTGTCAATGCTTTAGCTTAATAGTTTTGGGGGCTCAGGGGAAAGCCACTGTATTTAATGTTTATCACTCCAGATATCTTTGATTACTGATACGTTTTTCATTTAAAAATAAATAGATGCACTGACTTATGCTGGGAAATGCTGGTATGGAATTCTTCATACAGACCTCAAAATCCCTATGTTCTGATCTGCTCTGTGTAGAGACTTAGCACATAACCACGGAAGGCTGAGTTTGGCAGGGTCCTTTGGAGGCTATCTAGTCCAACCTCCTGCCCAGAGCAAGTTGTGTGATACCATGCCCAAGTGGCAAAGCCATCTAGACAATAGTTAGGCAGATCTCACTCCAACTTTATACACTAAGAGTAGACAAAGGAGGTAAATTTTTCTGATTAGTGTCATTAAGTTGATTTTCTGTATATTTTTTTTTCCATTCCGAGGATTTTTGTAAAGAAAGTTTTTGCAGATGTTTTCTGGAAGAAAGGAGATCCCTCTTGCCAAGGCAAGAGGCATACCTGTTTTTTGTGGACCTTATATTAGGTTAGAAGGTTTCAGATAACTTCTTTTATTTTCCCATGGGCAGAAATGGAAGCAGTAATAGGTTTCTCTGTCCTTCTAGCAGGCAGTGACTGAGGAACAAGTCATACTTTGGTAGATAGCAAATTTAGTGAGTTATTTCTCTCTCCATGGTTAGTGCTACCTCTACTCTAGCTCCTGACAGAAATGTTTGGAAATCCTCTGAGTTTATTAAAGAAGTGATTGCTTGCTGTTTCCACTTCAGATTTTCCATACTTTGTGAGTCTTCTGTGACTAAAAGCTATTAAAGGCAGCCAGTACTCTAGTTTGAGATAAAGAATGTGTTGAGAGAAATTTTCATTTCTCTTCTCTTCATCTTGTTGCATGAAGACTGCTAGTGGATGTGGGAATGTGAGGTTTGATGTGTGTACTGTTCTTCAAGTCTGGACCTAGCTGGTCATGCAGGCAGTTACTGAGGAAGATGATGCTTCTGGGTTGAATTCAGGCAATATGGGATGAGAAATTCCAAGCCTTGCAATGAGTTTCTGATGGAGTGCAATCCCTGCTCTCATGATTTCTGTTGATGAGGAGATGTATGCTAAGCCAGTAAGAACTGTTTTCTTTTCCAAGCACAAAAAGCAAAGCATTTCATCCTCCTGTAAATCTTCAGGTGAGTCACCATGAGCACTGCAGACTTGTGAACTTTTACAGGCTTTATCTTTCTCTAATTAAATTCCCCAGTATTTGTTCACCCAATCAAGTGGAAAACATTCCAGGAAGCAGTTGCCTGTAGATTCTTATTAAGAGGCTCCTGTCACAGAGTGATTTTCAGCTATGTGTTTTAAGAAGAACATTGCTGTTATTTAATTCTTCTAGTTCAGCTTGAGTGTGTTTACTTGCCACATTTTTCAAAGAACACTTCATGGTATTTTTCTCCCCTCCCCCCTTCTGTCTCTATTTTTTTTTTTCCTGGTGCTCTGCGTTAAGATTTTTTTTTGTTGTTGTTGTTTTTTTTCCTGTTCAGAAGAGTGAAATTAAAATTTCACATTTTCTGCATTTTGCTTTGCAAGCCCTTAGGAATGGTAGTTGGTATCCTGAACTTACCATTTCATTTGAGAAGCCACATGTAATTATTTTGAATCTCTTATATCTTAGTGGATCGCTTACTTCTTAGTGGAACTCTTTTCCTGGGTAAATGGTTTATCATTGTGTAAAACCAAACATTTGAAGGAGAAACATGGTGTTTTGGAAAGGAATTCCAGTTTTCCCTTTTCTTCCCCTTCAGTCATTTTGACTGAAAATTTGTAAGGGAGCACTCTAGGCCACTTAAAAACTTCAACCTTTTCCCACTCTCCCATCTGTGAAAGAAGTACAGAAGTGCATGCTGCAATAGGTTTTTATAATAATTGCAAACATTCTGAAGTAGGTGGGTCTCATCATAAGAAAAAGTAATTCAGGCCCTTTACCCAAATTATTTTCTAAATTGTTTGAGATTTACTGGACTGGTAGAGGAACCCGAGATTTTGGAAAGACCTGGTGCTGCTGGCAAAGCATTCGCTGTTTCTTTTGACCCGCTGAAGTGAGTGATGTGTTTCACCACTTAAAGAGAAGCAGACATGACCCTCTGGAAGAGAATGGTGTCTGAGATACATTGTTGGAGATGAGGCCCAGCTGAGCAAACAAGCTACCAGTGTCAAATTGTTTGCATTTTCATAATCACTCTGTTAACCCAGCCAAACCTGAAGGCATTACACTCAGTGCAATTTCTTTTTGTTGTGTTTTGAAGCACTGTGGATTGGGTAAGTTAAGCTAAATCTAAAAAGAAAGGAATCCATAATGTAATTGACAGCATTCTTCTTGAGATGGCTGCACACAAAAAAATTTTATGTGCTGATGTTGTGAAAAAGGGACAAAAATAAAGGAAACTATTTTTTCGGGATATAGTTTAGGTACCAGAAAAAAAAAAATAATAATAATTTTATCATTAACATTAGGCAATAAAATGCACCTATAAGATTGTTAGAGATACCTAACACTAATTACTTTGAAATTAAGTGCTTTAATGTGCGTAGAGCACAGTCCCATGAAATTCAGGAACATCATTCAGAAAGATAGGAAATGTCTATGCTTATAGCTACAATTATCAACATCCTTCTGTTTAAAAATCTCTGGAGATAACATTTCTTTTCTAAAAAATAATATGGTGAGAATTTTACAAGTGGATCTATTCTTGAGTGATCTACTAACAGTACATTGTGAGTTCTCAAATAAGAACTTTCTTAGGCTGTATGCATGCAGAAGGATTTTTTCTTCCTCTATTGAATCCTAGGAATCCAAAAGAGGAGTTAATACATTATGCCATGCTTGGTAACCAATGTCTTCCACTTTGTTTTACTTTTCATTGTTTTTTTTTTGTTTTTTTTTTTCCAGTGAAAATGAATAGCAAGCCTTTTTCCACATAGTCGAAAGTACTAGGAAAAAAACATCTCCATGTGTAATACAAAGTATTCTTATACTACTTTTGAATATTTTTGGCCGTATTTGTCTGTGAGAGTCTCCAGCATTTGAAGACAAAATACAAGGAAGGAGCACAATTTCCTCAGGGCTTTTCACACACCCTACCTGGATTTCCAATGCAGTCAAAACATAGACAGCTTGTAGGGATGCAGTTTAATGAACATGTACTACAATGCCCTCAAAGGGTCATTGTCTTTGCAATTGTTATCTATTTCCTGATTGCTGTTTTGGTTGTTGTTGTTGTTTTGTTCTGGTGATTTTCACACTTGAAGATGGAGTGACCTGAAGCTTGGCCAGCAGGTCTGTGGGAGCTGGAAGTTGATAGTGGGGAGCATTGCAAATTCTGTATACTCCTTCTCAGCCGAACTCTGTGTGTCAAAAATTTCCCTTGACAGAGGATGTCCCGGTGTGCTCTCAGCTTAACGTTGAACCATGAAAATACAGGGTTGCAGAGATCAGCACTACACCATATTTCTGTTCTCTATTATTTGGAATGGTTGAACTGCTATTTGTTTTTTTGTGATGATGTCAAACTGCTGAAGACATTATTTTGTGACTTGATAGCCTGGTTTATATCAAATTTCCTAATTTATGTTTTACTAGTTGAATATTTTTTCATTCACAGAACCACATGTTATGCTAAATATAGCACAGAAACTTTATTAACTATGTCCACCAAATCATCTTTCTGTAGATGGGACATGGGAAGTTCTTAGTTGTTTGATTTAATACACATTTTGGAACAGAGGTGGGTGGTGAATTTGTCCCCTTCAAAAACTTTCCCTGGAAAACCTCATCAGAGCATCGTGAGCCCAATGACTACAACTCTGGCAGTGGTGGAAAATGAGTAGTTGTATCAAAGTAGGCAAAATTTGAAACACACTGTCCTTGTTCAAAATTGGCACTACTTTATATGGCACATCGTATGAGAGTCGCCTGGCTCCATTTTGACAAGCAGTCCTTTCTTTTCCAGAAAGAATTATGAAGTAATGCAATGTCATTACAAATTTCCTTCCTAACTAAGGAAAACAAACAGTTTGCCTCTTTTAAACTGACCAGGATATTACTGGCTTTTCTGCCTGCTTCTTTTGACATCTGAGGTGATTGCTGGTAAACCAGTGGAGCAGGACAGGAAAAAAATTGTTAAAAATATGCAAACCCAGAAAATATTTTCATATCCATTTGACCTAATGTGTCTGTCACACAGCCTGTTGTTCTTGACTTAGGGGGCTCTTCGGGTTTAACCTACCTGAACATCTGCCAGAGCCATCTGAATGTAC